TGCCACAAGAAAGTAAAGGGGATCCTTTCATGGAAATGAAGGATGTTGAACTAGAGAGCAAGGTTTGTTCCTCCCAGAAAAACTGTGTCATTTATGTTCATCTCATCCTCTCTTAGTACAATCAGCTTACTGATGCCTACCATGTGTTTAAGGTGTTTCTCAGCAGGGAAATTCCAGTGAGATCTTTTAACCAGAAGAAACTCAAGGCATTCACGCTCATGTGCACTGAGAAAGAAATTCTCATATCTTTGGACAATGATGCTGTAATAAACAAAGTCGCAGTGACCGGTGCTCTGCTCAGGCATTTATTATTGTTTTAGTGATAGCCAGGCTCAGACTGGGAACGATTTTCGGCCCTGGCATTTTTCCATCTACACCGACCCACTTCTGGATCCCCCTGCGCGAAAAAAAAAAAAAAATAGAAGCACAGTGGATTAACTGATCTATCTTCAACTTGAAGAGATTGGAAAACATCTCAATCTGGCAACAATGCATGGGAAACATTTGCCTTTAGATGCAAAACCCCAACATGCACCGCAACATATTTTTTGCAAAATATTCAAACATAGATTCGCCAAATAAAAGATGAACATTGTAGTTTGGTTTAAAGAAAGCATTTTAGTTTTATTATAATTTAGCTTGTTGCAAGGATTTTCAGTTTGAAGAAATAGAAAATGACACCATATGCGAACCGTCACAAGGATGTGCATGACAAGGAAGGGCTATATATACTGCATGCATCATTTAAATGGTCAACATTATCTCATTTCTTGAACTCGTTGCATTATTTACTGTCACAGATAGGTGCTTTGACTTGAATTTACATGCTGAAATTAGGACCGCCTGGTATCACAGATGACCAGTCCAAGCCTGGCAGTAGCCATGTTACCTTTAAACTATTCTTATGCAGAGGAAAAATTATAATGGCGTCATTGGACAGTTTACATTTTAAAAACCAATCATGCAGAGAACAATGTAATTTTTTTTTATTCCTTTTTCATAAATAAATATCTATATATTGCAGAAAAGGACATTCTGACAATCAGACTACTATTGGAGAATTGCTCCTTAACTCATGTTCTCATATTTGTCAAATACTTCTTCTGATAAAACTGTTTCCTTGCAGAAAGGAAGAAGATGAAGGTTATTAGAAAATGCGGCACTTTTATTTGTTTATTTGTTGTTTAATTTTCAATATATTTAATGATTTTATTTCAGGTTGAAGGTTTGGATTTCTGTGAACACTCATTTTAACAAAATGTTGATTCTGATGTAGTTGAAAAGAATATATTATAAAAAAAAATTATCTTAGGAATTTGCATTCCTGCTTAAATAAATCTGCATTGTAAAGCAACCCTAACTTGTGCTGTATTAGACATATTTTAAAATACACTAAAAGCCTTTACAGAATAATGTGATGTAGTAGACTTAGCCTCTAAGTTTACAATTACATAATCTTTAATAATAATAGGCCATTATCTAAAGTGGAGCTGTCTGAGGCATGAAACCCCAGGGATGAAAATTAGTCCCACTGCGGACCTGCTTGGGAGGCGGTTAGAGCACTCTGCTCTGACCGCAAGGCCACCACTTCCCCTAACAGATGTGTTGATGATGCTGCAGATGAATCAGGGCAGTGTGATAGCTAACCAGATTTCATCCTTTGTATTGTCATTATGAGAACACAAAGACATTTTGCTGGGACTTCTGCCTTTAAAATCACATATAACGCTTTTAAAAATTTTACAGTAAATGAAATACTTAAATACTGCAGATTAGTGAGCCTGTGATGTGGCTAGATACCCCATGGGAAAAGAGGCCAGGCTAAATGTTCTTCTAGTGTTCAAAGTAATTGTTTTCTAAATTTTATACAAGCATTTGTACAATTTTAATTAAAAAAATGCTCAATGGAAAAATCGACACCTTTCAGGGTTAGGTTGTGGTTTTGGACCCAAATGCAGAGGCAGTGGAGGTAGAGGTGAGTTTTTTGTAGATTTAATGAAATAAACACAGGTAACAGAGGTGGGAATCCAAAAATCCAACATGTAAATATAAAACAACCCAGAATTATGGAGATATCAGGGGAAAACAATCACGAGGAGCCAGAGTAAGACAAGGTAAGATGATGTAAGATGAAGTAAGACAAGGAAGCAGCACTGAGGAACTGCACAAGGAGTGTATTTATGCAGACTGAACAAAGAAAGGACTAACAAGCAGATTGGGAGCAGGTGTGAAGTGAGCAGTCTAGGAAGGAGCCAGGGAAAAGTAGACCAACACAAGAGGGCAGCAGAGGGCAACAAATAAAAACCCAATAACTCAAATCCATCCAGAAAATACAACAAAATAGGAATTAAACCAATAAAACTAGAAAGCATGGAGCAAAGTAAAACATAACAGAACCAAGACCATGACAACGTCACATGCCAATATGTTGTTGTGATTTGATGTGATCTTTCCTTTATTAAAGTCACTTTTAATATTTAGAAAATAGACAGGCATTGGCACAGTGGCGGCTGGTGAAAAAT